TTATGCATGTCCGTCCGTCTGTCTGTCTGCCCATGGTTCCCTTGAAAATATGCATAGAACCACTTTTTAAGTCGATTTATGCATGTCCGTCCGTCTGTCTGTCCATGTTAAATTGTAAACAAAGTACAGGTCGCATTTATGATCCGAATTGGATGAAATTTGGTATAGGCCACTTATTTGGCCTAAGGACGAATCCTATTGAAATTAAGAAAAATCGGTTCAGATTTATATATAGCTCCAATACATATTTTCGTCCGATTTAATGAAAATGATGTACCAAAGTCCCTATATATCTTTCGATTTGCACGTAATGAATAAGGTCTAGAATGATGTCTGTTAAGTTTCCTGAAAATCGATTCAGATTTAGATATAGCTCCCATATATATTTTCGTCCGATTTAAGGTAAATGGTGTACCAAAGTCTCTTAATATCTTTCGGTTTGCACGAAATTTGGCACAGCGTAATGAATTAGTTCTAAAATGATGTGTGTTAAGTTTCCTGAAATCGGTTCAGATTTAGATATAGCTTCTATATCTAACCAAATGAAAAATTTAGTATCGGTTGCAGAATTTACTGGTCCTATAAAATGCGACATTTGTTAGAATACAATTTAGATTTGGTTGAACGGATAGAAATGGAAAATTTAAATTTCAAGTAAGGTTTCTGGATTCATGTGAAGGGTAGAGCTGGGATTCTTAAAGTATTGCAATTCGTAATTATAGGGTACGAAAAGTGCTAAATTTGGTACAATTTGGATTTGGCTGATAGGATAGAGGTGGAATCCTTAAATTTAGAAAAGGATTATGGTAATTTGGAAATTTGTTGGACAACTTATATTTGAAATTAAATATTGCTGTTAGAGTAGCGTTGGATGGTTGGACTTAAGATTATTATTGGAGTGCATTACTGAGGTAGTTTTGCAAATTCTTACTTATGGGTACGAAAATTACTTAATTTCGTACAATTTGGGCATTGGTGAACGGGTACAACTGAAATTCTGAAAGTTGCAACTAAGATTATTGTCAAAGTGTAGGATTGATATAGTTTTGGAATATGGGTATGAAAAGTACAATATGATACCAAATCTGGTACAATTTGGATTTTAGTGAACACATAGAGCTGGAATTTTTAAATTTGAACTTACGATTACTATCTGAAAGCAGGATTGAGGTAGTTTTAGAAATTCGTACTTATGAGTACGAAAAGTATTAAACTTGATATTAGATGTATGAATAGAAGTGGATTTCGGAATTATAGCGGACACTTCGATAGTATTAAAATAAAACATAGTTATACCCTTCACCACACTGTGGTACAGGGTATTATGTCTTGGTGCATATGTTTGTAACAGGCAAAAGGAGAATATGCATAGAATCACTTTTTAAGTCGATTTATGCATGTCCGTCCGTCTGTCTGTCTGCCCATGGTTCCCTTGAAAATATGCATAGAACCACTTTTTAAGTCGATTTATGCATGTCCGTCCGTCTGTCTGTCCATGTTAAATTGTAAACAAAGTACAGGTCGCATTTATGATCCGAATTGGATGGAATTTGGTATAGGCCACTTATTTGGCCTAAGGACGAATCCTATTGAAATTAAGAAAAATCGGTTCAGATTTATATATAGCTCCAATACATATTTTCGTCCGATTTAATGTAAATGATGTACCAAAGTCCCTATATATCTTTCGATTTGCACGTAATGAATAAGGTCTAAAATGATGTGTGTTAAGTTTCCTGAAAATCGGTTCAGATTTAGATATAGCTCCCATATTATATTTTTAAGGTAAATGGCGTACCAAAGCCCCTTAATATCTTTCGGTTTGCACGAAATTTCACACAGCGTAATGAATTAGTTCTAAAATGATGTGTGTTAAGTTTCCTGAAATCGGTTCAGATTTAGATATAGCTTCTATATCTAACCAAATGAAAAATTTAGTATCGGTTGCAGAATTTACTGGTCCTATAAAATGCGACATTTGTTAGAATTCATCTGTTGTATATATTCAAAGTGGTGAAGGGTATCGTATAGTCGGCCCCGTCCGACTTTACTACTTTACTTACAGGTTTTATAACTTAATCAATTTTATATATGTTAAGATAAACCAGTAAGGAAAGTAGTAAAGTCGGACTGGGCCGACTATATGATACCCTTCAACACTTCACCTTTTCGAAGGAACATTGACATGAAATTGAAGAAACATGAATATGTGATATTTATCTATATCTAAACCGACTAACATCAATCCCTACACATGTCGTTCTGCAACCTATGCTAAATTTTGTAAATCGCTATTCGGCATGCTGCAATCTATTCGTTATGCTGCACTGTTTAAAATTTAATCTCAATCAAACACCCATTGATTATTTGGTGTACAATAAACATGAATTTCAAGGAAACTTGCCAGAGATTAATTTATATTATCTTCAGTACGTTGTGGCAATCGGCCTAGCTAGGGGTCTTTAGTGCACCATTTACTTTAAATCGGACGAAAATATATATAGGAGGTGTTTGTAAATCTGATCCGATTTTCACGGAACTTTGCACTCATCATTCTAGACGTAATTCAGTATGCTATATCAAAATCGGGGGACGAAAATATATAAAATGGGACGAAAATATATATGGGAGCTATATCTAAATCTGAACCGATTTTTCCCAATTTCAGGGTTCGGCCTTGGGCCAAACCCATGGACTGTGCCAAATTTCATATAATTCGGATCATAAATGCCACCTGTACTTTGTTCACAAAAATACATAGACGGACAGACTGATATGCATAAATCGACTCAGAATGTGATTCTATGCATATTCTCAAAAAGAACCATGGGTCCATCTCGATTCCTTTTGCCTGTTACAAACATATGCACAAAGACATAATACCCTGTACCACAGTTCCATTCCATTTCCATTTCGCACCAGCCTTTTGTATGCTATCTTAATTTTTTATATATTTCAACTCAACATTTTTTATATTTTTCACAACAATTTGTGTATATACATGTGAAACATATTAGTCATTCGTCAGATTAAAAACAGTAAGGAAAGTAGTAAAGTCGGACGGGGCCGACTATATGATACCCTTCACCATTATGGGTATATTAAACAGCATTATTAACATTAAATTGGATGAAATAAATTATGTGATATTTATCTATATGTGAATCGGACTAGATCTATCCATAAACATGTCGTTCGTTTGGGACAAAAGTATGAAAATCGACTTCAAACAAATATAAATAGGTCATCCATTGGGCTATGTCTGTAATTCTAGAAAACGTAACTAAGTTATTCTATGCTCAATTTTGTACGTTGTGCAAAATTTGATGTAAATCTGACAACATGAGGAGTTTGATGTACAATTTACTTAAAATCGGCCGAAAATATATATGGAAGCTATACCAAATATGAAACGATTTCAACGAAACTTGCGACAGGTTAAGTTATACTAATTTCGGTACGTTTAGTTCCTATCAGCCATATATTGGTTTCTTGGTGCGTCAATTACTTCATATCAGCTATATCTAAATCTCAACCGATTTTTACGAAACTTGGCACACACAATTCTGGACTAAATTCAGTACGTTATGCAACATACGAACTTTGGCACATTATTTAAATTAAATCGGACGAAAAAATATATATCTAGATCTGAACCGATTTTCACGAAACTTGGCAGACATCGCTCTAGGCTCAATTCAATACGTCATGCCAAATTTCGTGCAAATGGGAAGACATATAGGGACTTTGGTGCACCATTTACATGAAATCGGACGAAACTATATATGGAAGCTATATCTAAATCTGGGCCGATTTCCATGAAACTTGGCAGACATCATTCTAGGCTCACTTCAGTACGTTATGCCAAATTACTTATAAATCGAAAGATATATAGGGACTTTGGTGCACCATTTACCTAAAATCGGACGAAACTATATATGGGAGCTATATCTAAATCTGAACCGATTTTCTCGAAACTTGGCACACATCATTTTAGGACCTAATTCAGTAGGCTATAAAAAATTTCGTGCAAATCGAAAGATATTTAGGGACTTTGGTGCACCATTTACCTAAAATCGGACGAAACTATATATGGGGAGCTATAAACTTGGCACACATCATTCTGGACCTAATTCAGTACTCTGTGTCAAATTTCATGCAAATCGAAAGATATATAGGGACTTTGGTGCACCATTTACCTTAAATCGGACGAAACTATATATGGGAGCTATATCTAAATCTGAACCGATTTTCTCGAAACTTGGCACACATCATTTTAGACTTAATTCAATACGCTGTACCGAAATTCGTGCAAATCGAATGATTTTCAGGGACTAAAGTCCATAAATCGGACAAAAATATATATGGGAGCTATATCTAAATCTGAACCGATTTTTCAATTTCAATTGGGTTCGTCCTTGGGCCAAATAAATGAGCTGTGCCAAATTTCAGCCAAATCGGATTATAAATGCGACCTGTACTTTGTTTACAATTTAACATCAACAGACGGACGGACAGACGGACGGACATGCATAAATCGACTCAAAAAGTGATTCTATGCATATTCTCAAAAGGAACCATGGGGATATCTCGATTCCTTTTGCCTGTTACATACATATGACAGTTACAAGTATTTACAGTACCGACAGTTACGTATTAATCGATGAATGAATTTAAAAATACAACACTTCAACACATTGAGTTAAACGCATTATGTACTAAATTTGCTCTCTTATAATTTACTCACTTCGATGTACGAAGTATTCTCAATTAAAAATTTATATACTAGAAGTCATTGTAACAATTGAATTTGTGCGCTGCGTTACGCAATATTGTAAAACTAAGGTGATTTGTAAAATTAATTGGAAATATATTTGAAATAAAACTTCTTTGCTTTAGAATTTTAAAGCAGCATAAACGACAGGAAGTCGCTACAGAATCTGCTTTTAAAACTTGGTTTTATTGCAACAATTCTTTAAAATTCTTATTACAATAAGAATATGGCGCAGCAAAACGCAAATATTCCATCGAGCTGCGTTCTCTGTTCCAATCCCGATGACGAACATATGGTGACATGTTCGAGGTGCAAAATAAATTACCATTTAATTTGTTGTAACATTGATGATGACCGTGGTGTAATTAATTGGATGTGCCAGAAATGTCAAGAGCAACAGCAAAATATGCATCATAACCTCAATGTCGAAGCAACAGCTAATGGTACCAGCACCGAACATATTGATGAGACATCATATTTTCAACAACCGTCAGCAAGTGGTTCTCATCAAACGATGCTCACAACAACTCTTCCAACGGGGTTTACAATAAAAACACAACTACAACTTCGACAGCTCGAAGAAGAGATGGCATTAAGAGAAGAATTTCTTAGGCGCAAATATGAGTTATTGCAAAATAACGGCGTGCAACAGACGAACATTATGGGAAATATTTCGCGAGAACCAGATGAACGGTCAGCAGATAACAATATTCATACCCAAGAATCTGAACAGCCCCAAGTATTTCAGTGCCAACAAAATGCAAGTATATCAACACAGCATAATTATAGTCGCGGTAACGTAATGTCAACGCAAGCAAGGCTATCAGGCGTAAATAGAGATCAAAATCATAACAATGACATCTCAACTTTAAATCAACCGCTGTATCATAGTACTCACAGAAATATTCTACCGCTGTATTCAAATGAGAGTGATGTACATCGCCATCAAGTTGGTGACGGATTGAACATACCCCATGCCAGTACTCTCAACAACAACAGCTATTTGACAGATCCAAACGTAAACAATAACACAAGCGATATTAATATTTCAGCAACACAATTTTTTGCTCGCCAAAGTTTTTCGAAAGATTTGCCACATTTTAATGGTGACCCCCGAGAGTGGCCAATTTTTATAAGCGCGTTTGAACAAAGTACAAATGCTGCAGGTTATAGTAACGAAGAAAACCTTATTCGGTTGCAGAAGTGTCTACACGGTAAGGCTCGTGATGCTGTAAGAAATTGCTTGATGTTGCCCGACATGGTTCCAGATATCATTCGCACTCTAAAAATGTACTTTGGTCGTCCAGAATGCGTCCTTAAAAGTCTAATTGACGATATTCGGAAAATGATTTTGCCAAAGGGAAAACTCGAAGCTTTGATTGAATTTGCTTTTGCCATTAAAAATATGTGCGCTACTATACGTGCTAGCAAATTAGATGATTATATTATGAACCCTACTCTACTACAGGAATTAGTCGAAAAGCTATCACCAGATATGATGATTCAATGGGCATTACACTCAAAAGATAAGCAACGACCAACTCTAATAGATTTTTCGGATTGGCTTTACATTATTGCGGAAGCTACATGTAGAGTCACCGTTCCCAATTTCGAGTTCACCAATGACAAGAAAACGTCGAGGAAGGAAAACCGTCTCAACACACATTTCGAACACGAGGACAAGCGTAGACTACCAGTTTGTTTTCTGTGTGAAGATGCACACAAGTTGTCCAAATGTTCAAAATTTAACGAAATGACTACCACTGAAAGATGGGATTTAGTTAAATCGAAGAATTTGTGCTGCATTTGTCTTGGAAGACATCGACGTAAGTGTTGGTTTCAAAGAGAGTGTGGTGTCAATGGATGCATTGTACGCCACAGCCCCTTACTTCACAGCGACGACTATCCAGGTGTAAGTACATTAAGCACTATTAATAATCATAAAGCTTCGGGGACACAGGATTCATTTTTCCGAATTGTGCCAGTAACACTTTATAACAATTCAAAGTCTGTAACAATTTTTGCGCTTATGGATGATGGGTCTAGTTTAACACTTTTGGAGGAGGGTGTTGCAGATAAGTTGGGTGTAACAGGAATCACTGATCCACTGTGCATGCGTTGGACTGGTGATGTAGTACGTTTCGAAGATGCATCTAGAAGGTTCGATCTGAAAATATCAGCCAAAAATAGTTCTATAATTTACCCTCTCCAAAATGTTCACACAGTAGAAAGTTTGAATTTGTCACCAGAAACTTTGTTGCTAAAGGATATTAGACAAAAATACCCTTACTTGGTCGATGTACCTCTAGAGGAATATGAAGATGCTGTCCCTTCCATGATTATAGGTGTAAATAACCCAAATCTGATTTCGTCTATTAAGACTAGAGAAGGGAAGTGGCACCAACCAGTTGCTTCGAAAACTAGACTTGGGTGGACACTTTTTGGTGGTAATTCAATGGTAGCAACGTTAAATGTGCACTCGTGTGTATGCACTAAAGACGCGCAGCTGCACAAAGTAGTAAAACAATTTTTTTCTGGTGAAAGTGACTGCACTGATTTATCGACATATCTGGCCGTACCACAAGAAGACGAACGAGCTCTGCGTATCATGAGAGAAACATGTACATTTAAAGATGGACGATACGAAGTAGGGCTACTATGGAAAGAGGATAATACCGTATTGCCTAATAGCCTACCAACAGCAATGAAGCGGTTAAATTGCATTAAGAAAAAAGCACGTCGTGATACTAAAATCGCCGAAGTTTTGCAGCAACAAATAGAAGGTTTAGTAGAGAAAGGCTATGCCGAAAAGTTGCCTTCTTATGTTTTGGAACAAGAAATCGGAAAGGTGTGGTATCTTCCTACATTTATAGTAAAAAATCCCCATAAACCAAATAAAGTCCGCTTGGTATGGGATGCTGCTGCCAAAACTGGAAATGTGTCTTTAAATGATTTTTTGCTTAAAGGGCCAGATCTACTTAGACCATTAATGCATGTCATATTTAAATTCAGAATAGGAGCAGTTGCGGTCTGCGGAGACATAGCGGAAATGTTTCACCGCATAAGAGTGAGGAAAGCGGATGCGAGTGCTCAAAGATTCTTGTGGTGGGATAGTCAAAATCCGGTTCTGATTTATCAACTTAACGTTCTTACTTTTGGAGCATCCTGTTCTCCGTTCATTTCACATTATGTGAGAAACAAAAATGCAGAAGCATTCGGCCACGAAGACTCCAAAGTTATCGAAGCCATAACCAAGCAACATTATGTTGATGACTTCATAGATTCCACCGATACTGTCGCGGAGGCCATTGAATTATCTCAAAAGGTTAAAGAAGTACATGCTTGTGGAGGATTTGTTATGAGGAATTGGTTATCCAACTCGGATGAGGTTTTACAGGCCCTCGGAGAAGTCCAAACTGTTATGAATAAAAATTTTGAATGCAACGAAAACATCAATCAGTATGAAAAGGTTCTCGGTCTCTATTGGGATTCGAAATCAGATACCTTTAAAATAAATTTGAAATTCGTAAGAATCAAACGTCCAATATTCGTTGAAGATATTATTCCAACAAAGAGGGAAGTACTGCAAGTTTTAATGTCGGTTTTCGATCCATTAGGTTTCGTAGCCTGTTTTATGTCGTATCTGAAAACCATATTACAACATATCTGGAGGAGTGGAATTGAATGGGACGAAGCACTTAACAATGATCTATACACTGAGCGGTTATTGGGACGAGGCTTGTAAAAAATATATGCGCTCATAACTTAAAAATAAAGCGTAAAATAATGTGGACCGACTCTAAAACAGTACTTCAATGGTTGTCGGGCGACCCACGGAAATATAAACAATTTGTAATGTTTCGTACAGCTGAGTAAAATAATAAACGAG